TCCACACTCGGAGCGGGGAACTACTTCTCTAGCTTTGGGCTCGAACTTGACCCACCTTACCCTAGCAGCGCATCCCTTTTGGGGATCTCCATATGGTCAAAACCAGAGTAGTCCTCCAGCACGGCAACATCTACGCCTTCAAAAAATGAATTGAGGGCCTTGTCCATGGCCCGGAACGCCTCGATCAGGTTTTCTGCGACGGCTCGAGCCTCATCTAAAAAAGGCTCCGTATGAGACAGTGACTCCGGGACGTCAATGACATCGGCATTTCTTGAGATGGCCTTTTTCGGAACTGGAGGAGCTTCTTGAGAAGCAATGGCCACATGTTCCTCCTCGGGCTCCCGAGCTGAGGAGGATTTAGCCTTATGATCACCCCCCTCCAGGGCTGTCAGCTCTTATGCGGCGTCGATCGGCTCTTGACCGATGAACTTCATGTCATCATCCTCGGGGAAGTCCCTGAGCTGATAGAGAGCTTCAAGGTCCGGGGCCCTGTCATGGGTACTTTTCTTGGTACTCTTTCTGACCTTGACTACGATCCCTTTCTTCTTGGCCTCGACGGGAGCGTCCGAGGAGTCAGTGGACCTTTTCTTCTTCTTTATTTTCTCCTCCTTCTTCGCAGCAACTTCGGCAGTAGGCTGCAGAGAAACAAAGGGTTTTTCGGACGGAGACGATTCCATGGTCTCAGTAATTGCCCGAAGTTTGGTGGTCTTGGGCAAGCATGTGAAAGGAAAAGACTTAGTCAATATAATAAGATAAATGGAGAATTCAACCGGGAGAAGGGGGACACTTACCATGAGAACGAGCCTCCCATTTGCCTTTGGAAATCTTGCACCACTCGCGCTCAGAATATGTAAGTTGTTTGCAGATGCCCTCGATCCACTCCCTAAAATGGGGGACCACATTGGGGACTCGGGCGACAGCGGCATATCAGAAAAAATGAGTAATGAGAAAGAGGAGTAAATCCAAAGGAGTATTTTAACAATTTGAGAGGAGGTGGACTTACGTTTTGAGTTCCACTTCTTGGGGAACGACAGGAACTCAGAGGCAATGAGATCTTCGGTCTTTACCCGAACAAACCTCTCCTGCCAGCCTCGGTCCCTATCCTCTTCTATGCATGAGAAGGGAGCCTTCTTTGCCCGTCGGGCGAGCTTGATTAACCCCCCTCAAAAGATTCGGGGGCTGTAAACTCAGAGCAGGTGGTCAACAGTGAACTGAGGCTCCTCTGTGTTGTTGACAAAGTGACGGAGAAGGGTCACGACCCTCCAAAAGGACGGTTGGATCTGCCTAGGCAGATTTCATACCTCTTACAAAAATCGAGGATCACCGTGTCCACCGAACCGAACGTGAAGGGGTACGTGTAAACACTTAAGTACCCTTCTGTGTGCGTTGTGATATCCTCCTCGGGACTGGGAACGTCTATGTTTTTGCCTTCCCATTTGCAGTCCTCTCGGACCACTTGGAGTGTCTCCTCGATGATGGAGCAGACATACCTCCATGCCTCATCACCGAGGTCCCCATGTTTGGAGGCGTTTTCGACCTTAAAGTTGTTATCTATGGAGCAGCCTCGAGGGATAAATTCTATAAGAGGAGGTTCTGGGGATACTACCGGAAGGGTTGCCTCGGTGCCTGCAGCCGTGGTAGATGTTGAAGGAGCGGTGTTTTGAGGCACCAAGTTTGAGGTTTTAGCCATCTTGACCTGGGAATATGAAGGCTTGAAGGTTGATATGAAGATTTGAAGATCTGGTATGAAGATTTGAGGATAAAATATGAAGGTTTGAAGACTAAAGATGAAGGAATGAATGTATGGAGAACAATTTATGAAAATTTGAGGAATTGATGAACAAATAGAAAATTCAAGGGTAACTCAAGAAAATTCCAAATCAGAAAGTAAAAAAGTAAGAAAGGGAAATCGGAGCTTTTATATGAAAGAAATAATGAATGCGTGATGTTTCGCATTCGGTAATTACCGGGGATGGTCAACATGCGGCTGACACGTGTTTGAAGTCAGAGCGATGTGACTGATGAGACGTTTTAGCTCGCCAACTTGCTTATGACGTACGAAGGAAGGAACTGGGGTCAATTAGTCATTTCTCGTTATTTCTATAAATCTACTCTCCGAAAAGTGAGGGGACTATGTGTGTACGGGTAGAATCGGGGATAAAGTTACCCCCGATGTTCCGATGAAGAAATAGGAGACGATGTGGTTCATCGCAGGCTCGGGTAAAGCCGAGGGCTCCTCAGATCAAAGCCCGGGGGGAAGAATAACGCACCAAGATTCGGACATGGCATAGCATGAGGGGATCTAGCTCAAGCAAAATAAAAAATCGAGGCTAAAGGGAAGACGGTTAGAGAGGACGAATGAGGGGCCGAAATATCCGCCATCATCCGGATATTACTGTACGAATCTCGCCCGATATCAACTGCGGATCATAATTTACTAGAAGAGAAGGATTTTTACCTTATTTAGATTTGTACTAGGATTGAAACTCCCCTACTATATAAAGGGGAGTACCTTTTTATTTTTCAACCACTGTGGGCATGCATATCAAAGAAATAAATTTTATTTTCGTCTTTTAGCTACAGTTCAAAGTGTTCTTCAGCTACCCATTGCTTTAGTTGCAATCGAGCCCATCTCGAGGGCTCGATCGGAACCATTTTCAGCGTTCAACTTAAAGCCAGGCTTAATTGCTCCATCACGTTTGGTTTGATCGTTTTGTTTTTCTTTAATTTAATTACTTGTTGTTCTTAGATCATTCGTGTTAAATTAAATCGCGTATCCTTTAAACCGCGTACAAATTTAGTTGTTACTCATTTTAAGGGTAAACAACTTTAATACTTTTCAACTATTGTATCTTATGCCAATTGAATCAATCATACATATTTAGCAGCAAACTCAACAATTTGAAGCAATGTCCATGAGCAATTGAAAAAGTTCAAATATACTCCTAAATGATTAAAAAGGTAAGCATACATCGATGTGGCTTCCATCGTTAGTGCGAGAGGCATATTTCTACCTTTTTAATTATTGCAGGGTATATTTGAATCATAAAATAATGGTGGCAGCTTCTATGAGGCGATAAATAAGGAATATCATATACAAACCAAATGCAATAGGTTAGGGACATTTTTAATACTTTACTACTAGTACCATGTGAACTACTCCACGTCTAAAGAGATACATATGGTTATTCTGCACCTTTTGGGTTGTACATCTTATTCTACTATCAAAATCCAACACATATTTCGAACTCTAGTTTACTGGTTAGTGGGCAAAATGACCTCCCAGCCACTTAAACTTGCACCTGTTTATCAACCCGGTAAATCAATTTAGAATTTTTTCATTTGAACACCCCAACTTGGTAAAAAAGCAAATAATAAACACCTCCCGTTGAGCGTGTCTCTCAAGCGATGTGACATGGCTGACATATCATATTCTTAGCCTATTATTATTTGACATGTATGATTAGTGGGTCCCAACTTATTTTTACCAATTTATCAAAAATTCTAAAATCATTCTCTTTTTGCTTCTTCTTCTTCTTCTTCACCGGGCAGCCACCAGCACCATTAATCTTCCATAAACACCATTCTTCTCCGCTCTAAAGTATCAGATCAATACATAAGCAAAGTCAAATTTTAACTTATTTTTACTCTCTTCCTTTTCACTTTTTTTCTTCAGTTTCATAGTCATTAGTATCATCGTTCCTGCTGCCTGTCTCGTTGGAATTTCTGCAAATCGTAACAAGTTTCTCTTATTCTTTTTCGTTTAGCAAAACATTCAAATTTTTTATCATATTCCCTTCAAAGAGGGATTTCGTACCCCTGTGAATTGGATTTCATCCATCCGAACTTTTTCCGGCGCAAGCGAGCTTGCCAGACTGATTTGCGGACTTGGGCAGATTTGAAACCTTGTTTATCTATGTCGTTTATGGTAAAAATAAATCACTAGATTGCTTCTCTAGTAAGCTTGCCGTACTGATCCGACCAATTTCTGATTTCTTTCTTCCATTTCACAATCCCCGGTGTGGCGTCTCTAACCCGACCAGCTAAGTTGTTGGACTACCTGCATTCTGTAGAAAAAGTGAGCTCTTGATACAAATGGTTGTGAGTGATATTTGGATTGCAAAGAAAATGGTAACTTCTAAGGTGGATTTTAAAGAAATTTAGTAGGGGAGTAGGGATTTTGAGAAGACGAGGAGAAGGCAGTGCTGAAGTGAGGGGGTTTGGAGAAGATGGAGAGTTGGTGGGGGTGGATTTTCATTTTTTTTTTTATATATTTTAGAATTCTTTTACTCAATTAATTTTTACTCACACGCCTAAATTAGGTGAATTGCATACAGTATTGCCACATCACACATGTGGTTGCCACATAAGCATAGTCAACAGTCAAAGAAATCTATTAATATGCAAATAATTAAGTTGAGGTGTTAAAATGAAAAAATTCTATGTTCCTTTACCGGTTTGACAAACAGCTATCAGTTTAGGTGGCCTGGAGGCCATTTTGCCCCAGTTAGTGTCAAGTTTATATTAAAGAAACAAAAATTCAAGTAGAACATTTTGTTTCAGGATGAAGAGAGTATATAACCTTAGGCCAAACCCAATAGGAAAAAGCATAACCAATAAGCTGTAATATAGACTTACGATCATAATGAAAAGGGTAAAAACATTTCACGGTGATACAGATGCAAGGGACTAACAGCATCAAGGATGGACCAAAAAAAAACTAGAAAATAAAAAAGACGAGGAATCAACGCCGTGAACTTCTCTAGTCTGGCTGGGTGTTAAATAAGATCAATAACATATTGTGCAATCAAACATAAAGGTAAGCATTCTGACGTAAATAACTAGTGATGGCAGTAAAAATGAAAGGGTAAATACCATATAAAACATAATTATCATGTCAATTGTACTCTGTATAACTTGAGTAAATTTCTTTAACTAGTATTGTATGTTTGTTGCTCTTTCTTCGTTTATAATGAAGTGTGACAAGAGTTCAAAAGGAATAACATAAGTATCAAAACACTATAAGACTGATAATTTACATGGAGAAAGGAAGGCACATCAACATAACTTTAAATCTCGTTCACTAAGCTCTAAACATTTGGCAGCTGCCATTAAATTACTATCTATTTCAATCTGCATCCATAAGTTGTACAAAGGCTAGAAACCAACACTGACAGAATTACATTGATTGGGAACAATTACTTTTTAACCTCACATCAAAACCTCCTCGGGTCCGGGGGCAAACAATATGCAGAGGAATGCATAGAATCACAAACCGAATTAGAATAACCAAGAGGAAATCTGAACGGCTCACAAGACATTTGACTACCTATAAGGGGACTGGAATCAGGAACAGCTGGCGCAATCACATTTGGGTGTCTAATTATCTCCCTACCGTGCATTTCTCCAAAAGGTTCTGCTAATATGATCCTTCCATAGGTAGGTTCAAATGAAACAGGTGGCAATTTATTGTACATGCCTTCTCTTGACATCATTCCTCGGTTTACCACTGGTTCCCACCTATTTGTCAAATAGTGAGGCATCGGCTGCTCTTGCCTGGATAACCCTTTTCCTGGACGCCTTCCTGACAACCCAGAAAAGGTGTCCCCCAAACAATCATCTGTTTGAGTTCTCTTTATCAAGGAAGAGTCAGTTGGCCAAGACTGCCTCAAAAGTTTCCGTTTTCCTTGTGGCATCCAGCCCGGACTTTCCACAGATGACATGCTTTTGGTCATGATAGCATCAACATGTACAGTTTTTTTATTGCATTTTGAACGTTCAACAGATTGCACCTCCGTTTTTCCAGAAGCACAAGCTTGTATTTGTTTTGCAATATTTTTTACTGTGCCACCGCTGTCTAGCCTGGAAGCTACATCTCGGCCAAATAGGAACTCCCTTAAAGAGTTCCCTCCAATCTTTTTATTTGAAAAATCAAAAATGTGTTGGACTGAAAGCTGGATGCAGCTATAGATTCTTTTAACTTCTTCTTCTCCTACAGCCCTAGCGACATTTTGAGATCGATCAGCGAAATCTTCAACCTGTGAAAGACCACTAACTAACATTAATTTATTGCTTGTTAAGAACATGTCAAGAAATGAACAAGCCAAGCACAATTACATTAATATGGCCTACTCTAGAACCCCATGTTTTAGATATCCAAGATCCTTGAAATGTACTGGCACACAAACCTCTGGACCAAAGTTTCTCAACTGATAGTAACTGCAATGGAGTTAAATCAACATTATGTATAATTCCAGCATAGCGGTTAGAACACAATGCCTACAAATAGCGGCCTGCATGGCATATGAAGCATTTTAAACCAACAGAGAATTCAAAATCCTACCTTGTTTAATAGAGAAACCAAGAGCTCAGCCACTGATTCTTTATTGTTTATTCCATAGTTCGTAAACTTACACAGAGACCTCTCCACTGCCACTGGCTCATTACCATCTAGAATAGATGGGAAGTCAATTAAATCGGTATGGTGACTAAGTCACATCGAAACTGAAAGCAGATACAATACTTGGAAATAGAAAAGACAGGATACCTTTGTGATAAATAACTGATGGAGAATTAATGAAAACTTAGATAGCATCAAAAATGAAATAACGCTATATTAGTACCTACTGCATTTAGTGCTCTCTGCCTAGAACTTCTATGCAAAAGAATGACGTATTCACATTGGAAAAGGTCCAAATATACCATCCGTTGAACTTTGCAAAATTAGTTATTCATGCCCTATGTTAAAAGCTTGGTTCAAAAATGAACTCATTACCCAAAGGTCTCACATATACCCTTAGGTACCAATTCAGCAAACGGACTCCATAACACGTATTTTCTCATTGATACGTAGAGGTGTCGGACCCATTTCCTCATTCCCTTTTTCCCTATTTCTTCCTTCCCCTTCCTTCCCTGGTGCATTACATTTCAATTGTCTTTTTCACCTCTTGAATTTCTCAAAAGAATTTATCCAGGTCTAATAATAAATTTTAATGCTTGGTCCTAACAGAGTATGCCTTTAACAACATACTATGTAACAACCCATAAACCGCTGGCAGTTGAACTCGAAAAGGGTTTCGTTGCGAAACTTGCCTTAGTTAAATCCCACATCGGAATAGAAGCGGAAAGTTGGGGACCATATAGTGGCAAATTTAGGATTCAGCAAAGCGTCCCTCTCGCAGTAGTATTCCAAACCTCACCTTGCTCTTGTGACATGCTATGTTTCCCCTCTCTATTCCAAGAAAAGGGTGAGTCCCATACGTGGATCGCGATTTTTTAATGATCTTTTTTATGGTTATGCTGGCGATGATAGGTGATTAGGTGGATCTTTAATTGGTTTGTTCCGATTCTAATAGGTGCGCCTAACATTGCATTTCCACCATTAAATAATATTTCATTTTACTTGTTGTCTCCAAGTCTCTTGCGTCTTTTGGGTTAAAGCCCAAGGAAACAACCATGAGACTCAAAAGCCTTGGCAGTTGGGCATGTGCCATGACAGGTAGTATTAGAGCCGGTACCTCCCGTAATACAGTGATGGAACAAATTTTAGCGAGAACGTTAAGTCCCTCAGGAGGGTGAATGTAACAACCCACAGATTGTGGGCGGTTGAACTCGAAAGGGTGTTCGTAGCGTGCGCCTAATTGCCCGTGAGTTCTATGTTGAATCGGGTAGTACTAAACAACAATAATAATCGACAAATAAGTTTATTAGTTGTTAAGTAAAACATTATGAGTGCATTTGTTACTCTTTTTTCTTGAATTACATATATATTTATTCTTTTTCTTCATTGCGTTTTTTTCTAAACTAAAGCCCACATTTTAATTGTGCTTTGCACTCTTTTAAGAGTTTTTCATAGTATTTCAACAGTATCTCAGAGAGAATCCCATCCTCAAGACCACCACCACCAACAATAAACCCAGTGTAATCCCTCAAGACCCTTGATGAATAAATCATGGAATCACGATTTGAAACAAATAACAAGTGTTTTTAAACTAAGGCCAATGTGTGTTGGCGCATCACCATTTGGTAGACCGTCAACGAAGGAGGTTTGCGACATTCTTTAAAGCTATAGAGACTCCAATTTTGAGGGAGTAGCATATGTACCTTACATCATCAAATATTGTTGTAATTTGTCAATAAAATAGAATTAAATAACCATGTTGAGAAAAATAACTCCGGAGATATATACTCTAGCATCAGTCCCATGCTTTTTCAGTATTCAACTTTACTGATGCTAAAGGAACAGTCAATTGAATTGGACAGACCAATAGCTCTGTCAACAGCAGATTTAAAATTAGAACTAGTTGAGGCAAGCTTAATCCGGCTAGTCTAGGTGTCCTTTAACTGAACTTCATAATACTCCCTCCATCCCAATTTATGTGACACCTTGTCCTTTTTAGTCAATTCTAAAAAAAATAACACCTTTTTATATTGAGTAATAATTTAACTTTAAAGTACCCATTGTACTTACTGCGGACTTGTCTCCTCTTAGTCAACCAATTGCACTCCGCAAAGGTATACGATCCACACTTAATCATAATCCTCACTATGTCGGTTTAAGTTATCATCGTCTGTCGTCACCTCATTATGCTTTTATATCTTCTTTGTCCACTGTTTCTATCCCTAAGTCTACAGGTGAGGCACTATCTCATCCACGATGGCGACAGGCTATGATTGACGAGATGTCTGCTTTACATGCGATTGGCACTTGGGAGCTTGTTCCTCTTCCTGCAGGTAAGTCTATTGTTGGTTGTCGTTGGGTTTATGCAGTCAAAGTCCGCCCGGATGGCCAGGTTGATCGGCTTAAGGCTCGTCTTGTTGCAAAAGGATATACTCAAATTTTTGGGCTTGACTATAGTGATACTTTCTCTCCCGTGGCTAAAGTAGCATCTGCTCGTCTCTTTTTGTCCATGGTTGTTGTACGTCATTGACCTCTTTATCAGTTAGACATTAAGAATGTTTTTCTCCACGGTGATCTTGAGGAAGAAGTTTATATGGAGCAACTACTTAGTTTTGTTGCTCAGGGGGAGTTTAATGGTTGTGTGTGCAGATTGCGCAAGTCACTATATGGTTTGAAACAGTCCCCTCGAGCTTGGTTTGGTAAGTTCAGCACAATTATTCAGGAGTTCGGCATGACTCGTAGTGAGGCTGATCACTCTGTGTTTTATCGGCATTCTGCTCCTAATCTGTGTATTTATCTAGTGGTTTATGTTGATGATATTGTTATTAGTGGCTATGATCAGGATGGTATTACTAATCTGAAGTAGCATCTCTTTCAGCACTTCCAGACTAAGGATCTGGGCAGATTGAAGTACTTTCTAGGTATTGAGGTTGCTCAGTCTAGCTCAGGTATTGTTTTTCACAGCGGAAGTATGCCTTAGACATTTTTGAGGAGACTGGAATGATGGGTTGCAGACCTATTGACTCTCCTATGGATCCGAATGCTAAGCTTCTGCATGAACAGGGGGAGCCTCTTAGAGACCCTACGAGATATAGGAGGTTGGTTGGCAAATTGAATTACCTCACAGTGACTAGACCTGACATTTCTTTTCCGGTGAGTGTTGTAAGTCAGTTTATGGATTCTCCCTGTGATAGTCACTGGGATGCAGTTGTTCGCATTCTTCGGTATATAAAGTCAGCTCCAGGCAAAGGATTACTATTCGAGGATCGAGGCCACGAGCAGATTGTTGGGTACACAGATGCTGATTGGGCAGGATCACCTTTTGATAGACGTTCTACGTCTGGATATTGTATTCTAGTAGGAGGTAATTTGGTCTCGTGGAAGAGCAAGAAACAGAATGTAGCTGCTCGATCTAGCACCGAAGCCGAATATCGGGTCATGGCTATGGCAACGTGTGAGTTAGTTTGGGTCAAGCAGTTGCTCAAGGAGTTAAAGTTCGGAGAAATCAGCAAGATGGAACTGGTGTGTGATAACCAAGCTGCTCCTCATATTGCGTCAAATCCGATGTTCCATGAGAGGACTAAACACATTGAGATCGACTGTCACTTTGTCAGAAAAAAAATACTTTCAGGAGATATTGTTACAAAGTTTGTAAAGTCGAATGATCAACTAGCAGATATTTTCACTAAGTTTCTTACTGGTTCTCGTATTAGTTACATGTGTAACAAGCTCGGTACATATGATGTGTATGCACCGGCATGAGGGTGAGTGTTAGATATGTGTAGTCCCACATTGGAATGGGAGTAATATGTACTTTGTAGACTATAGCTATAAATAGGACCTCTTGTATTATATTGAGTATCTAATATCAGTAATATATTTTCTATCGTGCTTTCTCACAGTACCTTTAATGAAATGATTTGTCACACCCCGTACTTTCATGTTGGAATGCGTCTTAAGTGAATCAATATAAGTCAGAGAGTTTAAGGACCTATACAAAGATAATGATGAGTTAACACAAGTATTATGGAAGTATCGTGAGGGTTGGAGGCTAAGCGAATCAAATATGTTATATCCCGTACTTTCGGGGTAAACTAGGAGTACTTAATAAGCTAAGGAGGTCATATTCTAAGGTATTTGAATCATATAATATTTGTATGTTAGGTTTTAATGTCAAACAAGTTGTAAAACAAAAGTCGACAAAAGTTGTCGCAAGATACGTTCATAATCTTACTGAAATTTAGGTCTAATGTCACTGAGCTTTTCTCTCAATATACTTGGAGTTATGGGGTGATCCACCCACCAAATTGAAGCTCTACGAGTCTAGTTTCCAACGCATTAAACCGTTCGTCAATACGACATCGGAGTAGAGAGATATTCGCGTTTTCGCGAGACTGTGCAGGTAGCCCCTATGGGACCCACTTGGTGGAGAATAACCCATCTATGGTGTTGGGATGTGAAGAAGGATGATGGTGAGCTAAGTTAAGCTTAGGGTTCGAATTTTATCTACTGCCTAAGGTATGTTTAACAGCCTTTTGGTTGTTTTTAAGGTTAATTACATGGTGGTTGTGGTGTTGGAGTGAAAGATTACAAGATAGCACTTGAAGGGGGAAGAGATGTTATTATCTTTTGTTGGATTGTTTTAAGGCTATGTATATATATATATATATATATTGTTATGGCTGGAAATTGGGAAAAATAACTTGATTATTATATGGTTTCTGGTATTATGCATGTCTATATGTTTATCAAGTGAATTGATGAAAGAAACATATGAAACTATGAATTGAAAGTGAAGGTTGAGGTGCTAGTGCACATGGGACTGTTTTGAAAGGTTTTGGAGCTAAGTTTCGGCTAGTTCTTTATGTAGTATCTTGGATACGTTATTGTTGATGTTGTTCCTATTGTTTTGGTGCTGGTTTGAGTTGGATGGAAGTGGAATTTTATAGGGGAAATGTTGTCCGATTGTCTATAAGTGAACTACTAGCGTAGAAACATATTTGTAAGTCCTTCTATGGCATTAACTACAAGTTTTACTGTCTTAATGTAGATTGAAGTCTTCGGGAAGATATACGTTGAGTCGTTAAGTAAACGACAAAGGTATGTTAAGGTTCACTCTTTCTTTCTTTTGGCATGATCTACAAAGAACGTAACTATAACGACGTTACTTAGGAACTCTATTCTCAAGATTAAAGATTGTGAACCTCATTGTTTAATATTGTTATAGTTCATGAATCTTAATGTTCTTTGTTGGGATTACTTCCCGCCTTGATAGCCTTTGAATCTTATGTCTTCTTATGATCCTTGTTGACTCTCAGACAATTGATACAGACATAGTTACATAACGATAATCGGAGGATAGCAATCTTGAGTCACTCCGATCAGATCCATAAGGCCCTTCAGAGTCATTGCTTGCATTGCACTTGTATATATGTATCTATTTTACTCTACCGAGCCGCGCTATAGTCGGTCGGGTACGGCACCTATTGTGCAATCACCGATCAGTTGGGTATTACCGAGCCCTTTGTGGCCGGGTACGACCGAGCCCTCTTTGAGGCCGGGTATGTTATGAGATATCATCGAGTCCTTTTAAAGGTCGAGTACGACCGAGTCCTCTTCGAGGCCGGGTATGTTATGATATGACATGATTTGCCCCAAAGAATGGCTTGATACTATATTATATGGCCCCGTCGACTGGCTTGATTTTTACAGACATGCATATATATCCATGATTGTGATAGTGTATGCCCTCGGAGGCTTGTTATGAATTTCAGATTTACTTCTGTACTTTTCATTCGTATTTCTATCTTCAATTTATGTGCTTTACCTGCCTTACATATTCAGTACATCTTTCGTACTGAAGACCCCTTGCTGGGCCTCTGCGTTTCATGCCCGCAGATACAAATAACGATTCAGACGATACTTCACAATAGGTGACTCAACTCAGTTGAAGTTGTCACGCTCCTTTCTTCTGGTGCTGTCTAGAGAGCTGGTAGGTATAATGGTTGCATATATGTACATAGTTGGGTATGGCGGGGCCTTGTCCCGACCTTATGATGTTCATGTACTCCTTAGAGGCTTGTAGACAGATGTTATGTGTATTGATGGTCATGGCGGCCTTGTAGGCCTGTATGTCTCATGTATATAAGCTTGTATATTATTTTGGGTCATCCTTTGTCGAGTTTTCTTTCATGTTTTAATCAGATTATCTCATAGCGGCCTTTTCGACCCATTTACGCATGATAGCATGGTTATGGATGCACGTTATGTTGGTGCTCGGTGAGGTAGACCTGAGTGCCCGTCGTGCCCCTCCGGTTTGGGGTGTGACAATTTATAACCACAATTATTCTAGACCACAAGTTTCAAAAGTCCTTAATTCTTTCTTAAACGATGTGCGCAGGCAAACATCATCACATAAATTGGGATGGAGGGAGTACATTAGAACATTACTTAAACGAGCTGGTTGAAATGAACCCCAAGTTGAACATGCAACATGGTTCTCTTAGTCCTCCATCAAGAGTATCAACAAAGGGATTGCGTTGTTAATGTTCTTTATTCAAGAACTCAACTGGGTGGTTAATATGGGCGCTCTTGGAGGGCGTACTGTTTAATGGTGGAAGGAGGCGGAAGGAGGAAATAGGGAAGAAGAGAGAAAAACGAGGAAATGGATTCTACACCTCCACGTGTCAACAAGAAAAGATAGGCATTGTGGAGTCCATATGTTAAGTTGAAAATAAGGGTATACATGAGAACTTTGGGTAATGGTGCGGCCATTTCTGAAGCAAACTTTTAATGGAAGGTATGAATGACTAATCTTGCAAAATTTAGAGGTATATTTGGACTTTTTCCCTATTCATATTACCTAAATCCTGAAGTCAACAATGTCCAGATATATTAATGAATGTTTGTCATCAAATATTTTGGTGTATCTTCCTTCAGACTCGCAGCTGCACCAAGAGGGAACAGTGTTATGGTTTTCCTCAAAGATGACAATCTGACGGACCAGTGATATCTCTGGATCTAAGAATCATGGAAGACGTAATTGAAATATGCACCTGGAATTAAATCATATTGGTATAAGAAGCAGAAAAGGAAAAAAGAGGAGGTAAGAAGCGCTCAGATTTGGACAACACTGGCATACATTCTTCTGATTAATCAGTCAAAACTTTTGCCTTTCTCCTAATTAACAACCTCTTAAATATGACCACCTTTCCCATAACTTTTGTGATAGCACTTTCCCATAACTTTTTACTCGACATGGATGTGACATGAAACTGGTTTATAGCTCTCAAAACTTTAACCAAGTACAATACCAATCGCACAGTTTAGCTTTCACCCAACAATATATATTTTTTAATAAGGAGCTTTCAGGAAACAATATATTAGTCCGCACAAAGCATCACATTTGGAGGGTGTTTGGCTAAGCTTATAAGGTGGGTCAAACTAGCTGAAAAAACACTTTTCAACTTACCTACGCATTTGGTAAACACCCAAAGCACTTATAAGTCAAAAGCTATAAGTTGGTCACCCTCCAACTTATGATTTTTCAGCTTATAAGCACTTTTGGTTTGATCAAATATTTTACTATTTTATCCTTAAATCTTTTCTAATTCTCAAGATGCTCTTCCCAAACTAGAACTCCTAACTCCTTCCCTCTCCATTCCAAGTTCTTCGTTCATTCTTCTCCTTTTATAAATACTCTTAAATTTATACTTTTTGTAAATAACTTTAGGGACATATTAATTGTCTTAACATAAAAAAATTACTAATCAAAATCTTTTTTATCAAACATATTACCTGCTTATTTTCAGTTTCAAGACTTCTATCCAAACATATATTTGATTATTTATAAAATCAGTTTCAGTACTTAATATTCATCCGCTACTCTCAATTAGCTAACCCAAACGGGCACTTAATACGTCTAATACCGAAATTAAGACGCCAAAACTAAAACTTACATGACATTGTTTTCGTGTGGTAACTAGTAAAAACAATGCAAATATTTAAATCAAATGTTAGACCTTGAAAGGAATATTGAATTCCAAAATGATTCTAAAATGAAATTTGCCCTGTATGATGGGATTGAGAAATTTCAATCAGAATTAACTTGGCTATATAAATTTATTGGATACTTGAGAAGTAATAAGTCAGAGGCATTACCTCTGAATAAAGCGGAAAATGGAGGCAGAATGGGAGGATTTCGGGTCTGCAAAGTTTTTGATTTAGCCATATAAGTGTTGATGAGGAAATATATTCATAACTAAGCTACATAACAAACAACAATGGAGTTAAGAGAAATCTACAATGATCTAATTATACTTTGATGGTCGTCAAAGAAAAAACAAGGATCAGGAATATATAGAGAAGTCTGAATCACTTTTGAATTACAACATATAACAATAATCATCCAAGTTGGTTAAAGAAAGAAAGAAAGCTCAGTGCACAAATATTCAAGTGGTGTCCAATCCAGTGTTGTGAAAAGCGCGAAGCGAAGTGAAGCGGAAACTTGGTCCCTTATGTGTGTTGAAGCGTAGCAGGTGTTAGAAGTGACAATAGCAACAGAAGCGAGAGCTTTAATGTATTAAGGCTGCCAACGTTAAAAATTAAAAAAAGCTCTCTTTTATCAAAACAAAAACAGCCGAAAACAGGCGACTAGGGTTCCCATTTTCTGCACTTTTCAAGTTCAAGTTCATCAAGTTCTCCTCCTCCTCCCTCCTCCTCCTCTTCTTTCACTGTTTGAGTCTCAAAATAGCAGCGAAATGCTGCCAATTTTTTTTTCCCCTTCAGTTCTTTTTCTCATTCTCTTCTTCTTCTTCTTCTTCTTTTTCTTTCACTGTTTCATTCTTAAATTGCAGCAAAATGCTGCCCCATTTTTTTCGTTTCAGTTACTGCCATTTCTTTGCTTACAGTTACATGTGTTGTCTATGTAGTATTTATTTTAATATTTTTTTTAAAAAATTCCGCTTCACTTCAAAAAAGCGAGCGTTTCGCTTCTCGCTTCACGCTTTAAGCGAAAAGGGGCTTGTCGCTTTTCCTCGCTTCACGCTCCTCACAACACTGGTTCAATCTAGGTGGAGAAAAGGAGAATATTTGTTTTTCTCCTCTGTTTCTTCTATAGGTACGACAACATTTTGTTTTTCAATTCAAAATGAGAAGATTAGGATGCTATGAAGCAGTTGGGAAGATGAAGTAAAACATGATTCAGATCTCCTTTTTATTTACAGAACAGGTAATGACCTGAGGAAAGTGCGATTGTTGTTTCTTTCCAGCCCATTCCATTTACCGGGAGCCCTGTTGCTGTCCGAAGGGGGGCACCATCAATTCTTGATGCTTGAAAGCAGTTGTTCCAGACAGTTTTCTACACCATTATCTATTCCAACTACTTGAACTTACGCAGGCATTACGGCCAAATATATATGAGAAAGTTTGATTCATCCCTATAGATATCTTCTCCTTCTGAGTTTTACCACATGGGGGAATACATACCATATAAGTTGTACCAGATATTCTGTGCTATGATACACGTGTTAATCCTTGTGTCCTCACTATTTGTGAACATTGCATTTGTTCTACTTAAAGGCCAATTAGAGAGGTTTAATTTAGCTTCTTACCATAGAAAGGAATTGCTATCAAGCTCTATAAATGGCCTAAGGTAGCACGAAGTTGATCTTGGACCAAAGGTATGTAAAAACAAACTTGTTGCAGGAATTTCATTAGACTAATTTTTCTATTCCTCACCACAAGGTCAAAAGAGTCAATCCAACACGAACAGGAGAGAGTTTACTTTTGAAAAAGAAGAAAAAGAAGCTACAAAAGCATAGGTTAAAGTAGAAATGATAAATTTGTGAAAAGAAGCTCTATGTGCTTCCAAAAAGCATGTGGGAACCTAGTATTTTGCTTCTTTTTTTTTGGTGATACGTAGTAGTATTTTGCTTTTCATGTATCCACGCCAAATAGGTTGGTACTGCATATGGGTCCTCCCAAATAAAAACAAAACCTTACTAAAAATTGAACATACTTATGCAAAAAGGCACAGATATATCTGCTAAACACAGCAAAACCAATGAACCCAGACATTAATGATTTTGACTTCTGCGTGAAACAAGATCAGCAAGTCAATTCTAGATTTAAAATGCCAGCTAAAAACACATGTTCTTGGTTGATGTCACCTTCCCACCATCATTTCTGTGAGAAAAGTCGTGTAGAGGTGGAAAGATGGGGAAAACAAGTAGGCTTTGAATCCATTCATTCCCAACATATTCATTGCCCCATTGGTTTAGCCCATCAAGTTACTCATTTCCCTACTTTGCCGTATCAAGATACTATATTGTTTACAAGCAACATGAAGATTTGTGAGATGTAGCATGATTTCAAGATTCAGAAGCCTTTAATTTAAATTAATTGTAAGAAGGTCCTACCTTCCCGAGAGTCTATCGGAAACAGTCTCTCTGCCCTTCCAGGGTAGGGGTAAGGCTGCGTACAACCTACCCTCCCCAGACCCCACTTGTGGGATTACACTGGGGGGTTGTTGTTGTTGTTGTTGTTGTAAGGTCCAACAGGTGGAGGTAAAAACAAATCAGCCAAACATCCCAAAAGAATAACCAACAATGCTAGACACCTAAAGTTTCTTAAACATGAGATGGCAGAAATAGATAGATAGAGAACTTGGCAATTTCGAATAGAAAAACATGATAAGCAAAAGGTTCAAGTCCGCCATAAAAGAATGAGGAAAGAAAATAATGATAATTCAAGGATTTCTGCAAATGATGAACTTGTTCCGAAAACCATACCTGCAAATGGAAAGCAACCAAAAGTATTATAGATAAAGAATTCAATGTTTGATCCTTCGCACTGTTAATATTTTGTGCTTTTGCCCATGCTTTCACCTGCAAAGAGAAAATTCATGAGAAATCTGAACTAAAAATGGAAAACATTCTTTAGAGAAAAACATTGAATATTGCACCTAAAAACACCCAAAGTATCTGCTCTATTTTCACACTGCAGCATATGCTTTATGTAAAGGATATCTATCCCAAAACAAATTATGGGCACTAAAGATTGGACACGCCTGAAAAAAGAATTTCAATAAAAAACAAGGGTGACACACACCCAACACGTGTTTGATCACGCCAAAGAATTTAAACTGTTTCAGAATCAAAGGTTTTGTGCACTCTACATGTCTTATTTAACTCAAAATTGAGGCACCCCATGGCTCAAAATTGAGAAAAGAAAAGGAAAAGAAAAGAGGGACTGAATGTGTTTAACTAAACCTAAAAAACAAAAAAAAACTTATACATGTGACTGCTTAACATGTCCTTGTAGATCATATATATGTATAGAATTGATTTTAATTTAGATTTAGCTGATGTATTATAAAGGGACAGACTGCTGAAAATCTTCAGCCGTGCGATCATCTAAACAAGTTATTGAAACCAAAATCTGAACCCAAAAGGAGGCAAATATGGGAGTTCATTCTAATGGTACGACTTTTGAATAGAAAAAAGGTTATGTTCACATAATCCATTTGTTAGACAAGTTTCTCGTACATGCTCTCATGTGGATGCCACATGTGTGGGCTAATAAGACTTTCCAACAGATGTACCACCTTCATTAAGGAGATGCATAGCTTTGGACAGAGAATCTCAAAAGCTGAAATTCAGTGGAGAGGTCTAATAAGGACAGACATTTAGGAAAAGATCCCCAAAAAAGAAAAGAAAAGAAGAGAAAGGCTCTTCATTTTCTTATATCCTGATTCCCAAGTATACTTATGAGATCATAAACGTAGGGGCTCATCCCAAGGCTGTGCACATTTGGATGGTCTTCCAAACCAGGATAGCCAAGAAATCTATCAGGAAACAAAAAGGAAAAGAAAGATATTCATAACCTATTGCAAAAATGTAATGTGATCCTTAACATGATTCTTCAAACTTTTCCTGTACAAAGATAGCTGAAACACTCTTTGATAAATATATGTATTAAAGGACAAGCATATTTTACCAAGAAGCTCAATTTCCGAAAACGTTCATCAATGGCACCAATCATGTAAATTATCTTTGATTTTGATATCCCATCCCAGTTTTCAACTGATATATCACATTCAATTTCAGTTCCTTGGTCAACAACTTTGAGAACTGGCACCCTGGCAGTTGTAACTGGATAGACACCATAAACGAAACCATTCCCTGCGGCAGAAAATTTATATATCAGAACCACCAAAAACATTAACCAAAGTCTTTAAAACATACAAAACGCTCTAACTATCATGGTAATACAATCACCTTTTAAGGATGAGCATCTAAAAATTAATTTGAACACCTGAACAATACTGGACTTTAGTTCAGTTACCTATATATGAAGTCAAAAGTCTTTTATCTTTTACAACATATCTATATGTATATTTTAGTAGAAGTATCAATGAATTTACTTCATATCAGCGCATGAGTACAGCAAATGCATCAAGGTCTATCGGTTGGTCACTGCTGCATTGAGCTTTCTATCTCTACCATTTTAAATAATTGTGATCCCACAGATGAGGGATCACAATTATTGTTGTTGTTGTTGTGATCCCATAGATGAGTGGGGCTTTGTCGAATAACTTAATGCACATGGCATCAGCCTTATAGATGTAATTCCAGACATGTCTCCAATGCTGGATCAGTCCCTTTCTACTGCTTCACTACTGTCCCATAGCTTTCTTTTACTGTATTTGGATAAGTCGTAGTTGATATTCAGCGATTACAATTTATCTTATTTCGAGAAGACTGCATTAAATGGACACCAAGGCTGTGTCCTATCATTCAATGAAGCTGGTGAAAATTGAAGATCAGGGTTCAAATTCCATTAGAGACAAAAAAAATGCTAGATGGATTCTTCTTATATTCCTAAACCTTAGCGAGTAGAGTTACCCGGTAGTTGGTAGGAGGTAGCAGGTACGAAAGGAATAGTCGCGGTGGGCGCAAGATACCCATACACCACAGTTAATTAAAAAAGGAGATGATGAATATTGCATTAAATGGAAATATTTGTGAAATGTAGCTGATGATTTTTTACATGCTCTTTACATACACCCTCCTGATTTGCACAGTTGACTCTCTAGTTCATACACCTCAGTTAGTCCAAATCATTGCAATCTCCCATCACAATGACCAGAAAAACTAATCGATTTTTGAACATTGTGTGCCACGTTAACAGAAGAAAGAAGTGACAAACTGAATCTTTAGTTAATAGATATGCCAAATACCACCAACCTGTTAAGCAAAATGAAACATCAAAGAAATGCTCGTATATGACAAATGGTAACTGCAGTTAAATACTTATGGTTAAACTTATTAAGATGAATAGAAAAACCTGGTTCTTCTTCAGTCTCCATGTTTGCAGACTATCTGACACAATCCAGAAAACCATAAATGAACAACAGCATTCTTCAGATGTAGTTTTGATCGTTCATGTAGTTAAATATTTATGATTAAATGTTATAATCCCTTGAACTGACAGAGGGGGGAAGATATACCAGCAATGGTCTTTCTGATCAACGCACATGTGATAAGCTTATGGAAGAAGAGTTATTTAGACTTTTCAAGTTTTTCCAACTGGCTTCTTGGCTCTAAAGGGGACACAAACAAGAGTGACTAGAGGAAATTGTTCAAGCTGCTGCAGAGTGAACTTCTCATATCCTTACTATGACGACACTTACTGATTATTAGATTCTTGATGGACCAAAATATAGGAAAATTAAAGTAAAATGAAGAATAAGTTCAAAGGTTACTTTGAAGTAGATAAAAAAATTTTGCAAATTTCCTCAGAGTCTGTATCTTCTTCTCCCGAGTAGTGTTAACCTTTCTGCTGGTGAAGTTGACAGATAGATCCAAGTCACTTTTAGCACAGAATAGATCCATTGAGAATGACCCAAACACCTCGATGACTGGAGCATCAGCAGAATAGTCTGAAACAGAGAGTAATGAGTATGGCACTATACTATCGCTTGAAAATTACCC